AGTCCTACTACAAGAAACTGCGGACGGATCGTCGTGGAAAAACGTCTCAAGCCCATGTTACCATTACAGAGTGGTGACAGGGACGCGGACGTGCCCAACAACAACAAAAACGGGCGCTCCGCCGTCTAACACCAATGCCCCATCCCACCGAATCCATCCTGATTACCGACAGTGGCGCCGACCAATTCTTGGCAGGCTACGTTTGGAGAAGGATTGGTATCACTGGAAGACACATTGCACTCACAGGGCCTATTGCAGGTCGAGACATTGGTACTGTCTTACCAGTGTCATCAGTTGCCGCCAAGATAATTGATGCACACGGCAACACCTATTGTGGTAAAGCCCATGAAGTCCTCCACGACACTAACCCACACCAACATGAATCTTTACTCCCTCCAGCTCAGGCCCGCGCTGCTGGTAATGCTGTGGATGAGTGCCCATCTGATGCACTAACGCCAAGAGGTGACTATGGAACTCAATGTTGTGTGATTAGTGGCCATACACTTCCATTATTCTTTGATGGATTCAAGTGTTATTACCGTGTGGAGGCCATCACTGATGAAGAAATGCGAACTTTGCCGGAAATTGTATTCACCAGTGATGAGGAGTATGAGCCTTCTGCCCGCAGTAAATCTCGACGCTTCCCAGCAGAGGAGATTGATTGGAAGCGAACAATGGCTTTTCCTCCGGATGATGTCTTGAACCACACTCTCGCAGCGACCACTCAACTGGTTCCTACTGTTGAGGCAGAAAGTCGTGAGATTATGAGAGACCATTTGAAGTCCAGACTAACATGTCTGCGTTATCGGCGTCGTCGGGACGTCGATTTTCTCGATACCTTCAAGGCAAACATCAAATCGGTTCGTGGATTTTTGTACTTCAATTTATTTTCAAGTCAGAGGTCCGGATATGACCACCCCATTCTGATGCAGCGAAAGAGTGAATCCCCGGAAACACTCGAGGCGCATTTTGACCACTGTGGAACCCCCCACACTTTGAAGTCAGATAATGCAAAAGAATTTCGTTCTACACAGTTCCATCGCAAACTCCGAAAGTACCAAGTGTCCTCCAAGTACACTGAACCACACCACCCAAATCAGAACCTTGCTGAGCCAAGAGGTGGAAGGCTGAAACATGTAGTCCAACACATTCTGT